GGTGATTTGTGGAACAAATGCGACTTGACAATACACCATTCCTAATTAGCGTGGTCCGCAGTCGAATGGAGTCCAGAGAAGATCCGCCAAAAGTACCCGGGCTAATAGGATTGGTTCTTTTTCATTTCATTTCAAATTAATGTGTTGGTAAAATTAAACAGATCCCAAACTACGGTGCATATTGGTCGGAACAAAGTGTCTAGGTGTACGGAGTAACTTGAAGCCAAATGCCTATTACCATATAGTGTGCAATGTAAAAAAAAAGGTGAAGTGAAAAAAACAAAAATACGGGTAATCCTGGTGGCGATCGCTAAAGTGCCCGTGTAACGGGCTGTTCCACTGCACAGTGGGGCAATACCCGGTATGCCCAGGGAATTTTATATATGGGCATTACTAAGAGTTTGTAAAGATATGAGAAAAGGGAAAATGGGAAATGGGAAATGGGAAATGGGAAATGGGAAATGGGAATGGGAATAGGAAATGGGGGCAATGGGGAAATTAGGGAAATGGAGGAAATGGGAAAAGAAAGCGAATGTCGACAGATCGCCTGATTGCGCGTTTAATGCCGAAGGGCAACCAGGTGCCTCGGTGGCGTGAAGGTAAATATCCCGGTCACGAGTATATAATGGAATGTGAATGAAAGTGTGAAAGTGAAAGTGAAAGCGAACTTGGACCGTGCTCACATTAGTATGATATTGGAATATAGCTCATATTGGCATACCTAATATCGAATATCAATTATATATATTTTTTTATTTCGTATATCCGCTAATTACCCTATACTACATACATCATACTATTACATTCTACGGAGTACTCTATAACTACAAAGTACGGAGTAACATGTACATGTAGCATATGCTCAATGCAGACACATCCCCTAATGAAACTAGGATCATGATTGGTACTGTCATCACCAACCCGGTCAACTCCTTCCTTTCATAGGTAACAACCGCTGACTTTCGCGCCAGTGTCGCTTTGGCGTCTAAAGGTGTTCCAGCCTTAGCGGAATGGGGGCACGGCCGGAGACGATGATGGAATTACAACATAATCCATCTGCAAAAGGCCTAATATGGATATCTCTCTGGTCGTGATCGTCCAAACTCGCAATCTGGTACTTTTGAGAAATGGCTTAGGCCTCTTCTTCTCTTTTCATAGGGTTCTACAAGTGGCAATGCATGGCTTTTTTTGGGGGTTTTTTTGGTTTTATTTCTCTTTCTTTCTTTTCTTATCTGCAACAGTTCCATCTGGGTTCTCTGCATATGCATATTCTGTACCTTGTATATTTAGCGTTCTTTCTCTACTCTCCCGGCCGAACCGAAGAGAACTCTTTGAAAAAGTACAGAATAGCCACGGTCTTCGGCCGTGGCCAGATCACGTCTTTGAGTGAAACAGACGCGTATCTCGGCTGCACGGACTCCCTCCCCGTAATGTATTGAACCCGCTCCAACTCCACCGGCAGCCGGGAATGGCCGGATTTCTATTTCACTTTCAATGTTATGATTTGTGTAAGAGTGGGAGAGGAGGGGGTTTGTGGGTTTTACGCATAGACCCGAGGTGAGGCCGGGATATCAAATAAATGCCCAGGTGGGGGGGCTAAACGGGATCCTCGACTGTCACGGGAAAAAGGGGCGATGACATGCAGTCGATCAGACCAAATTTCCCCTTCGGCCAAACCCATTTCAAGAGATGATATTCTGTTACCCCATTCAGCTCTAGTTCAACTACCTTCCGTAGGGTGCATACAACATACAACATACTCCGTAGTATTATTCAGAAAATTTAGATCGGCTGTGGGGGGATTCGTAACTTTTGTAGTGGATCGAACAAAGATACCTACAAACCCATTGTGATGTTCTGATTTACCCCTCAGTTAGGAGGGGAAAAACAAAATAATGATAACCTTGATTCATACCCATTCCAACCTCCAGTACTACAATAATTGTACATTGCCAATGAAATATATTGTATGTTGTAATAGCTAGAGCTAATATCTCGAGCTGTACGGAGTAGTTCCCCCTGTAGGAGCTTGGCCGGGGTAATAACTGGTCTCTAAAGGTGGGAACATCCGTGCCATTCTAGCCGCTCTCTGGTGGGTTAGCTGCAGTAACCATGGCTTGGTGGCTGGTTAGTTTCGGGATTATCACCGAACTTGGTTCTCCACTGAGGGTTGTATTGAAAATACACGTATTTTAATGTTCATGTTTAGGGGAGAACACACAGCCGGCTTCTCCGTTTGGAGTCTAATACTATGCACTCCGTACTCCGTACTATATATACTCCGTAATGTACGGTTATATCACGCAATCATAGTGGTTATCCCCTATGTTGTATATCAAATTTGACTTTGATGGCTTTGATCATGAACTCTCGGTCCGAGATTGGCCACTGCGGCTCTTTTGTACTATCGCGTCTTATGGAGCTGTTAAGACAGATGAATAAACGCATGTACCAAGGCAAACGAACACGGAGAGCACCGAGCGCACGCTTATCTCCGTATTGCCGTCAGTGCGCACCACTATGTAGGTCCTGACTACCGAGGTCCAGTCTAGCTACATGTAGTATAACTTGTTATTTATTAGTATCAGCCTCACTTGTACTCTGCTCGTTCCTACATTCTATGGTTGTGTGTCAATCTTGTCCATCTCTATATTTCTGTTGTCATAAATCTGTGTATCAATATCAAATCCAAGGATACAAAGAACTCGACCGCAAACCCTCGTATCCAAACTCCGAAATCTCCATATGCAAATGGACAAAGATCGCAATGCCCTCGGCGCATCCTGACGTCAAATGAACCGATTTCCTCCCGTTCATGCAGCTGGGATAGACCGGGGACCATACGGAAAAGCGGCAGAAGATGCACCTGCTCACATATAGGACCGTGGTAGCGGAACTGCACCTCGTGCATCCCCTCGGCCACTAATGCGCTGCAGTTACTAGGAATATTGTGGAAAAGGAATAATAAATGAAATAGAAATAATAATATAAGTATAAATAAAAATAAAAATACCATTCTAGAACACACGTGCAGAATCTCGTTTACGCTATGCAGGGTATTCGGCGTTGGCCGTTGAAATAGGTTGTGCAAATTAGTCCACGGACATGGAGACGTTAGCTGTTTCGTTCTTGGCTTTGATAGATGTTCTTTGTTGTACTCCTGTTTCTGATTTTGACCTCATAAGCTATTTTGGGATTGTCTTATCAAGTTATCAAAGTAGAGAGCCATAAGCCATAAGCCATAAGCCATAAAAAAGCAAAAAATAAAAATAAAAAAGCTTTCAGCCCTATGAACTGGCCCTTACTTGGCAGATATCACACGTTCACTCCGGCTTCCATAGCCATCCTGCAGGGTCAAAACAAGACTCGAAATCGACGCCACCAAACAACCCAATCGCCCCATAGAGGTCATAGTCCCCTTCCAAGCCCTCGACACCCCCAGAATCCGCATCGACCTCCTCATGCAGATCCCAACCCCCAGATCGGTATCCATTCCGCGTGAAGAAGATATGCACCTTGCATCTCTTACTTTTCTTATCCCCACTGTAGATATTGTCCGGCAGCTCAAACTCCATTCCCAACCCAATTGTCTCACCCACCTTAAACGCCGTGGTAAAATCCCGGCCCCCAAATGAATCATTCACGAACCGACATCCATCATCTGAAAACACCCCCAACCCACCTCGTTCCCAACCAGGCGATCTCCACGATGGATAAGGTTGCGCAGCGTATCCAATCGAAATCCCACTACGATCCTGCGGCGTCGGTCCTGCCCTCAGCGCCAACAACTTAACCTCAAAGTAAATGGTCTTCTTCAGCTCACGCACAAATGGCGAGTCCGTTGCAGGGAAGTACATGGGCAGCTGGGTAAGAATGACACAATCTCCATTCCCATCCGCGCTGTGTCCACGCCAGCGGCCACGCGCAACAGCCGAGACATTGCCACGTAGCTCGGCTGGTTGCACGGGTCGAAGATCATAGGCCTGGACGTCGTGATAGACGGCAGTTGAGGGCTGAGTTGGGAGCCAGAGGGGCACGGAGTTGCAGAAATCATGGGCACGTTGGGCGTCGTCTTCAGAGGCGTTCCCCGTACCTGAGATTAGATAGCCAGTGATTGGGGGAGGTGGGAATGTGGCTGTGTCTGGGACTGCTTCCTGCCAGTTGTGATATGGAGGTGGGTTCCCTGAGGCTGATGCATCGGTCTGTGGCTGGGTACCGGAGATCTCCCAGGATTGTTGTGATGCATCATAACTTGGCGGAAGGTCGTTGTGGGATTGGTTGGACATTGTGTAGATTCTTAGCTTCTTAGCTTCTTAGTTTTGTATCTGAATTTTTTTGTACCGAGTAACGAGTAACAATTTTAAGGCTGGTTGTGTAGAGTATTGATTCTCGGGGGGAGATGTAAAGGTGAGATTTTTTGGGATTTTGATGCCAAGTGGAGGGGTGTGACTCCTTAGACTTCTTTGGGCTTCGGATTGGGATTCTCTCATTCTGACAGTTTCACGATTCAAAGAGTTTGGAATTGGACTAAAATTCGGGGTTTTCTTCATATTCATAAATGAAGTATAAATTGTACTCCTTATACGGAGTATATATTGTAACATCTCAAAATCTACAGATCAGATGGGGGCAAAAAAAGAAAAACAGCAAAAAAACCCTAAGAATAGTCTCCGCTAGTCCCGTACCTCTCGAGGGTTTCAGCTGCAGCCAATACCAACACATTCGGAATTCCTTCGATTCTTGACTGTTTCCCTTTTCTTTCTTTTTCTCTCCTTTTTCTCTTCTTTTTCTGTGTATTTTCCTTTGGCCTTGGGCCTTTGTCCCTCTTTTTGTTTCTCTTGACTGCGACTTACGACTTACGACTCACTCACGTCTCACGTCTCACGCCTCACGCCTCACGCCTCATCCACGATCTCTCGATCTTTCGATCTCTGGACTGTTTCCCAGTTCAATGTCACTCGCTTCTTTCTAGGTTAGACATTCGCTTAAAACCAACTCCAATGGAGGCCATCTCCACCGATCCGCCCCGCAGGGCCCGGCGATCATCCATCTCGGACCATATCCACCGCGTTTTTAGCAAATCCATGGATGTAAGTGAACCACAAAAAAAAATGGAGGAACTTCATTTGACCCCTTAAAAGAAACGACACAGTCAAAATGGCCAATTTGTTCCCCCTGTTCCCTTCCTCGCCCGCGAAGCTCTCGCACATGAAACGGCAACGGACAATACTTCCCATGCGAGGCACTCTTTGTACGATGAGACCGGGCCTAGCTCGGTCTCTTACTCCTCCAACTCACGTTTGCCCTCCACCGGTACACCTGGATCAAGTCTATCAGTCGCAAACGGGGCCTCTATGGAGGATGATACTCCGACCCAACAAATGACGCCCTTGCCTAGCCGTCCCAACGGAGATATAGACAATATCTGCAAATCACCCACCTGGGACAAACCCAAAAAGAAAGAAAAGCGGGTCACAAAGCGCCTGGAAGCTGAGAGAAAGGAACTCGAGAAACGGTTGCTAGCGCTTGAGGATGCCCAATCTAAGGTCGACCTCGGAGTCTATGAAAGATCCTCTCGCCGTCTGACCAAGAAACAACCTGTGAGCAGGTCAAGTAGAAGCTCCAGTACAAATGCAGAGCGTCCCAGATCGTCAAGTGGCCTGTCCTCGATATTCCGGCGATCGCGCCGGAATTCTAATTCGAGTGACCAAGACTCTCCGTCTGCCGAGTTTAGCCAGCTCAGGACAGACACGAACCCACCGTCTCTGCCTTTGACTCTACCGGAGCGGTTTGGAACGGCCATCACCCGAGAGCTACAGTCCAAGCATGGCACCGCATTGAACCTTTCCGCTTCGCACAAAATATCCAACCCAACCCAGCACAACCGTTTGCACGCCTCGGCAAAGTCTGATGATCTTCGTGAGAACTGGAAGATGGCTGAAGCCTGGAAGACAAAGGATGGACGCGAGGCCCATCGGTCAGTGTCGGAGCAGATTCCTAAAGGTACTCAGTCCATGGTTGGAAAAGGTGCTCGAAATGGCGAGACACTAGGACCCTCGGACGATCTAGATAGGGAGTCGTTTTCCGCAGCTCTGAAGCATGACAGAAAGAGTGTGCCTGCGGCGGATAATCCCCTTGATCGTGTGACTCGCCATGACCGTTCTGTCAGGGCTAGTAGCATGCCAATGTCGCAAAGCATGAGCCAGCCTAACTTCTATTCATCTGGTCATCCTGATTCGCCTACTCAAGTTACCACGGCTCGTCAGTTGCAGGAGTTAACACCTCCAGAAACTCCAGACAATCCAACCAGTCCATCCAATGCCAGGCCGTATCCACCACCACTCAATCCAGCACTAATACTTGCTAGGAAGAGCCGAGTGGATCCCTTCCCGCGAGCATACAAGTCGTCTCCCCTCGCACTAAATCCTGCAAATACGGATGAATCGTCCCAGAATGATACCATGATTCCAAGACCACTGACAGCACAAAATCTTGACCATGCGAACCCATCCCAACCACCACAATCCCCCGCTCAACCTCATTCTGAGGATCGGGGAAGAAGCCGATTGCCTATCGCTTCATCCCATACCCCCAAACGAACTTCAAGTCGTTTCAAGGAAAACTTCCAAGAGACTCCGCAGTCGATTGAATTACCACCGATCCCAGTCAAGAGCAACAGACGGAGTCTCGAGATTCGGAGAATGCCAACCACATCAGCCGATCCGCTCAAAGACATCCCGGCGTCTCCTTTCCAGGTAGCCGTCAGGTCTCCATTCCATACCGGAAGTGTTTCGCCCAGCGAGAGGAACAATCGAACATCTAAAGACCTGTCGGACGACAATTACATTGTTCCTGCAAGATCTCCCCGTCGAGCTTCTCGGACTTCCACCGAACTCCCTGGAAATGTCCTTGTTGTTGTAGGACCTGGAGGGTTCATACCCGGACATAGCCGCACTCCCTCACACACCTCCTCCCATGACGGTCATTCAAATTATGACACCGCTGACGAAGATGCACCTGAATCTCCTGGATTCAGTCGTCAATCGTTGACTCGCGTGGATACAACTCCCTCAATCTCTGCCGTTGAAGCGCCAGCCGTACAGGAAGCCCCCGTTAGCCCACTCATTCAACCTAGCAGCCAGGCTGGTACTCAGCCTAGCATCCAACCCAGCACCCAGCCCGTCTTAGAGCCTATCCAGCAGTCTGGCTCTCATCCCGATACTCATCACGGCATACAGTACGGTCCTCAATCTGGTACTCAGCCAGACATTCATCCCGTCATGCAGCCCAGTACCCAACTGGGTATCCAACCCAGCAGCCCCCAAAGCCGACCAGGTCCCATGAGCATCCTCAAGAGAAGATCCCAAAAAGCGAAAGCAGCCCACAGCCCACAAACAATCGCCAAAATCTTCGTAATTTGTTGCCGCTGCAAGTACTGGCACGACCTTCCCTCCGAAGTCTATGCGCGTCTCGCCTGCCCCGAGCGTCTAGGCTCAGATTCCAAACTGGGCGGGTCCCGCTCCAAGAAGCAACCTGACAGTGGTGCCCGCAAGCTAACAGGCTCACGATCGCTGCCATTCGGCCAATTCCCAGCTCCCCATTCTACCCAGGGCATGCCCGATCTGCGACCTGCACCTCTTCTACCTCGCAAGGTGACCTGCTGCTGGTGTGGACACAACATGAGCCGATCTTGCTGTGAGGGTTGGACCACTGTTGTTGAGATGCGTGAGCGCCATCATTGAGTGTGATGGGCTTTAGAACATTGATGACACTTATTGAAAACATTTGAAAGCTACATATGATCTGAACGATTACCATGATGTTATGATTTTCTTCTTTTTTTTCCCGTCTCTTCTCAGTTCCATGTCTCGTGTTTGGGATTTCTGCATCTACATCTGCACCTATGTCCTTGATGGTTACGATCTTTGGGCTATCTTACAGACAGTTTCCCATAGAGTAATTGAATCAAATGTATGTAAATTGAAACATGACTTTAATTGAAGCTACGTGTCTTCGACTGTAAAGGTATTGAGTGACTAGCTAAGTGACTACTAACATACATAACGAAGGAGGATGCAGTAAAACACCCCCCATGTATTCCGTGAGACTCGTCGAGTGACTATGGAACCCCAGAAGCTCAGTCACTCGTCAAAGAACTCGCATGAGAAAGCCCCGTTTGATTTGGGTGCCGAACTGCATGGGCCTCAACAACTTGGTAATGTTGATGTCTTCATGCATAGGGCACCCATGTGCTACGGGACCCTCCCCCAACGCTGTCTCATGGGGGCTATGGAGAGATGGTGATAGAGAGGGCTGAGAGGAAGAAGGGAAGAAGAAGAGAGAGAAAAAGAGGTGGGAGGGGTCCTTTTATATGGTCACATCCCACGTACCTTCCCAAAATGGACCTCCAATGCACCTTCCCTAATAGTCTAATGTCACATGATATCTATGAACGTGGACAATTGGACAAAGCCACAGCACAATGAGGTCTCCTTCCAAAGAATACAGCTGATGAGTCGAGGCACAAAAGTAAAGTGACTTTTAGAGCACCTTTTAGAGCATCTTTTAGAGCATTCGTTTAGAGAGAGTTGGTCTAGGTTCTACAATGACTCTGACACCTCCATGAATACATTTATGACCGGAACTAGGGTTTAGATCAAGAAAGATACACATACATCCCCGACTAAAGGTACTCAATGAGAATATCAGAGCTTCGAAAGACATCGACGTTGTCTTCGGGAAAAGACAAGATGGGCTCCCCAAAAGGTACCTCAGGAATTGAATGGATTCCATCTGAATGTTGATCTCAAAGATGCATCCACGTTTTGACTCGCCGTCTTATCAAGGAGCATATGGATTGTCGACAACATCAGTGGTGGTTGTGCTGTCGGTGCAGCACTGCTATAGTCTCCACTGCGGTCCTTGAGACAGTTATCGGTGAAGTCCAGATCACCATAGCTACGAGGCCATGATGCCATGATCTTGCAACCAGGAATCACTTTAGCATTCAGATTATTGTTACCGTCGAACATGGCATAGATGGTAGCGGTGCTACTAGCAGTATTCTGATCCGCGACGTCTAGAACTGTTAGCCTAGCTCCCAACCTAGGTGATAAAGGAAAATGATGCGACTTACTATAGGCTCCACCCCAGGTCTGGCAGCGCTTTGAATCATTAATCAAAATACAACCGCTGCTAACATGCTATTGTCTGAATTAGTCGCGGGTATGAGTGCGTAGAGACCCTTTTCAGCAAACTTACAATGTTGGTACCACTGGCAGTGTATCCCTCAGGGTCTTCACAGGGCCAGTAGGGCGAGTCTCCATTGCCCAGTTGCATTGTGTCAATGATGGCGCTGGCATTTGTACACACCGGCAAACTCATGAATCCAGGAGTTCGGACGCTAGGGACATCCCCGCCGAAGCTGTCCACGATGGTATTGAAATCAGGGCGGGGGTAACCGTTCTGGTAGTTGTTATTGGTCCATCCCGACACGCAACTTTCGACAATGTCTTCGAGGATAATTCCACCCCAGTTGGTTCCGTCCAGGGTAGTATGGTCTCCACCGGGCAGAGCGCTAGCAGGGAAACCGGTCCCCGCGATGCTGTGGGCGTTCAGTACGTTATGTATCTTGCCGTTATAACAGACATTAGTCCTGACCGCGTTGGCGCTGGACACGAAGTCAGCATACGAGACAATTGATTCTAGATAAGCGGAGTGCACCATTGAGGTCCCTTTCCATCATATAATACAAGGGCGTTGAGCGTTGAGCGTCATTAAGGATACTATTTAGCCTAGAAGGTATACCTACTTAGTCTCCACTAGATAGGAAGTGTCCCCTTACTCCGCACAGAGCACTATCAACTACATGTAGTCACACGATCACCCGTACAGGATCAGTCTAAAGGTTAGCGTTCCGACGATCAAGCTTGTTTTGTTGAATTACGGAGCCTAGGATATCCCGCATTGCTACTGACCAAATAGGAAACTCCTCCTAGGGCCTCGGGGCCCTGAGGTCCCTAATTTAATTTGTTTTCGACGCTTCCGATATCGTGATTTGAGGGGAAAGTGAAATGGCAAATGCCATTTACTTGATCCGGTAACCCTTTACGTGCGATAGATAGTAGGGACGCTAAATATATCTTACGTGTCTAGTCCTATTGGTGGGGATATCAAATAAATAAGCCTTTACCTAGTCATTGTTCCACTATACCTGAAATGGTCTATACAATGCGCTAAGATGAATCCTTCCAGAGATGGACCAGTCATCGTGTGCGATATGAGACACGTAGGATATTTTCCAATTAATATATTTATCACAATACGAGACACTTGGGAGGCTCCTGATTAACATGTACATGCCTGATATAGCGTTAGCTTCTTCATAGAACAAGAACATAAGGATGTTACCAGGTGCTACTACTCATTTGTTATATACTTGGCTAATTCTACTTATCATTTCTAACTATTAAACTGACATGGGTTTATCCATTTCCGTAACTGATTTTTTGAGTTGGAGATAAGTCCCCGAGCAATTTCGATTGTGAAAGTAGCTTGTGAGATATTCCTTGGTCCATACTTCTATATCCACTCGTCATTCTGAGTTACGAGGAGTAGTGATGATAACAGCAAGCTTGTTGATATAGTCACCGTGGACAGATCCCAAATCCGAGTTGATGTGCCACCACGTGGCATCTCTGCATAACTGGGGATAAGATTCGGAGACATCGACTTCAATACGAACTCCCCAGACCAGGCCTTGTCGAGATTGGGACCCATTGAGCCCACGTCATACGTTGTGATGAGCACTCGCAACCTTGGGGTCGTTGAGTTGGCCCGCTATACTACTACGGTTGCTTGGCTCAAGAGCCGAATGAAATGTTCGGACGTCAACAAGAACAGCACGTGGAACCACTTCCATACACCATGCGTTTTGTGGACACTGACGGTATCCAAACTTGCTTTTGTCCACGTCTTGGAACACCTTTCGCTCTAGACGCTGTTGAAAGATAAGTCTAAGCCGTAGCGAACCATGAGCTAAGAACTTTATCAAGTCATTTGCGGACTTAGTAGGAAGGTCGGTATTTTCTTTTGCAGCCATATATATCCATTCTGCGGCATTTTTTTCCTGTCGTCATTGCTGTAGGGTAGCCACATGTGTGTTCGAATCACCAAATTCAAACTGAGTGAGAATGGCAAGGGTGGTGAGTCAGATGCACTCCGCATATTTAGCGTGGGGCCCGTCCCGAGATGCCATTTTAAAAGTGCAACGCAGGATAGTTGGAATTTGACCAGTCAAGATAGAAGCGGGCATGAATGGTGTCGTGTTGATATTCAGCCCTGAAGCTCCTCTTCAAGTGGCAGAAACTGGGCGGTATGTATATGCTGAGTCATCACTTTTATTTTCCTTTTTTTCTTCTTTTTCTCGCCAATTTCCTCGGGACACTCTCTGGACACTCTCTGGAGATTCAATTCATTCCTCAGAATTTAATGCTATTCTGACTTATGGTGTCTATCAATACAATACTCTACATTAACCCAATCACAGATATATATCAACCCCAGACACGTTCTGTCATCCGCAACTCCTCAATCCAGCTGTCCCAGTCCATTTGGACATGCTCAAGGGCTCTCCTCCTGGAGAACAGTCACCACATCGCTACGTCTTGTGGCCGTGACCGACTGGAGCTGGATTGCGAGCTGGGTACCTTCGGGTGTTCATGCTCACTTTTGAAATACAAAAGTTGCCAGAGCAATCAAAGGGCCTTCATAGTTCATGTTATACTTGCTCGAGTCTTTCCCTTTCGGGATTTCACTTTGTCTACGAGAGCATGACTCCTTGCGCATCTACATTCCTCAGTTTATATCGAATCGAATTTATTGCTTTCCCACGTATCTATGTTTCTCCCAAGACTACAGCTTGCTTTTCGCGTCACCAACAATATTCACAACCACCTTGCCCCAAGTCTCCCTCCCACCCAACGCCTGCAAAGCCTTGGGCACACTCTCCAATCCAACAAAGCTCTCATCCTTGAACGATGTCCCCTTGAACTTCCCCTGCTTAACGAGGTCAAAGATCCCCTGCCAAACCTCACCAACAGTCTCCGTCTCGAACTTGGCATACTGCCCCCAATGCAAGCCAACAATACTCACATTCTTCAATAGCACCCGATTAAGTGCAACCTTCTCAATCTTGCCCGCCGCAAACCCAATAACCAACAACCTCGCATTCCACGCCACACACTTCAAACTCGTCTCAATCATCCCAACAGGATCATAAACAATATCCACCCCAGCAGCCCCATTTCCCTTCCTATTCTTCTTGCAGATCCCCTTCACAACCTCCGGCCACGCCTTATCCGTGTAATCAACCACATAATCCGCCCCAAAGACCTTGGCAATCTCTCTCTTCCTCTCCGTTCCTGCAGTAGCAATAACAGTCGCCCCCATAGCCTTGGCAATCTGCACAGCAGCAAGTCCGACTCCACCGGCAGCCGCATGAACAAGAACCCAGTCCCCGGCCTTCACACCAGCGCGCTGCACGAGTCCGCCATACGAGGTCGGTGCCGTGACGAACAGCCCCGCGGCATCTTCAAAGCTCCACCCCTCCGGCACGGGGAGGAGGGTTTGCTCTGCAGCTAGGACGTGTGTTGCGTAAGCTCCTTGTGTAGCGCCGAAGACCCGGTCACCGAGTTTGTAGCGATTGTTTGCGGAGGTGGGCACGGCGGTGATTGTGCCGGCGAATTCGGCGCCGCCGATCCAAGGCAGCGGCGGTTGGTTTTGATATTTGCCTTGGATTTGGAGAATGTCGAAGAAGTTTGTGCCCGCCGAGTGGATTTCGATTAGGTATTTGTCCGCTGTTGGGGTTGGAGTTGGAACTGTTGTTACTTTTAGGTCTAGGGGTCCCTGTAGGAGTGGTTAGTTGGAGTTGGAGTTGAGGTATGGGGGTTGGTTGTGGTTACTTTGACGTATTCGCTGACTTGGATGGCACGCATTTTGGTGGTAGTGGGGATGTAGATTGGGATTGAGGTGAAAGGTTCTGAGCTTGAGTGAAGAGATAGAAGGGGAGATGGTTCAAATAAAAAGAGCTGGGGCATGAGGTTTCCCCGCAAGATGCCGAGGTTCCTTTTCGGGTAACTCATCGAGTCTTGGCATTTATATAGAACTCATTATCTATTTGTACAACATACATTTGATATTAACATGAATAGTATACATATACGTGTAGTCTCTGTCATTGGAGATGTAAGTCTAATAATCTGATATACTTGGCCCAAAATGATATATTAGGAACGTTATAGTCTTTTAGATTCAAACTGTGCAGAAGGCTTTTCTATGTATAAGCAGGGATAGTATAGATATACATAACATAGATGTATCAAGCTCAATTAATCAATAGGTATCAATATATATATATGTAGTTTCCTTTTCATCCAAACTCCCCAAAACCAAAACATATCGGGTATGACAAAACAAACAAACCACCCATATTTCACAAACGGTATAGAGGTAACAATGTAACCAGGTATCACAGGTATTTTATAGAAACAAAGAGCCCCAGTGCAAGCTATCACCTAGTATCCAATGCCCGGAGGCTTCTGCACATGATGGTCATGACCCATATAAGACATGATCGGAGCACACATCACGGAATGAGGCCCGTGTTGGGTCTGGATATGCGGCGATGTCAGAGGATGCGGCTGAACATGAGGCTGAGTATGCGGGAGCACCTGCTTCCTATCATTCTCAGGCCGGGCAGCCAGATGGCCGGCCATATCATACTGCAATGACATAGCGCGCTTCCAGTTCTTGGTATCATAGCCATGAGGGTACTCTGGTGCCTCACCGTAGTGATGGTGGTACTGAGGATGGTAGAGCTGAGCTTGGGGAAGGTAGCCGCTCATTGAAGGTGTCATGGGGGCAGCCGTGGACTGGGGGATGGCTGGGGGAGTGATGGCTTCAAAGGGCAGCGAGTACCACTGAGATGGGTTGAGGCCGTAGTCTACGGAAACGGCGCGGGGTGACCAGCCAATGCCGCCGGGGGTTGTTGCTGTGCCTGGGCTTGGAAGGCACGATTCAGGTGAGAGTGGGTAGGCTGGGTAGGATGGGGCCATGGCGGAGGTTGTGTTGAGCATGAGACCTTCGCCGACTGGAGAGGTGTGGGAGTGGTCGAAGGATGTTGTTGTTGGACTGGGGTCTGAATAAGAGACGGCTGTTGTGCGGTCTGGGATGAGGATGTGCTCGCCAGAGGGGCTTGGGGTGAGTTGTTGGATCATGGGAGAACTCCATTTCCGGTCCTGGTCTGGGACGGAGTGTTGGAGGGTAGACGAATGTCCGTAGTTTGGTTGTGTCATGGGCCATTCATGGCGGGTTGTTGGTGTCTCTCTTGTTGGTAATGATGGCAGTGGTCTTTGGATGGATGCCTTGCGCTTCGCATCCTTGTCTGAGTCTAGTTCTTCTCCAGAGGCTGAAGCCAGACTCTTCTTTCGAGTCTGACGGGATGGCTTGGTCACTCGCCATTTCTTCAGTCTGCTTCGTAGTTGGGTTTCACTGGAGATGTTAGTTGATAGTCCATGATAGAGTCCGGTTGTCGGATCTGGGAAGGACATGAACTAGACATGAACATGATTGTACTCACCTAGGATTGAAATCATCGGTACGTATCTGCTTAATGACCTGCTTCAAGGGC